TCAGCGGCACCCGCCACCGGCCTACGCCGACCCGCCGCCGCCGTACTTCGACGAGGAGCCTGGCTACGGCGGCGCGTCCCTCTACCCGGTGGAGCACGGCACGCCGCCGCCGCCGCTGCCGCCGGCGCCGTTCGTGGCGGCTGGGCTGTATGGGCCGGCCGGCGCCGCGCCCACGCCGCCCCCGCCCTTCCCGCCGGCGTACGCGCCGCCGCCGGCCGGCCCGCCGGCGCCCCCGCCGTTCGCCGGCTTTCCGCCGCCGCCGGCGTCCGCCGGACAGCCCGACATACTGGTGCGTGGTGGGACGCCGCGGACGGATGCTGATGGGGCTGAGACGCTCCAGAACGCTCGGCCGTCGCCTGTGGAAATGTGACGCATGTTGGGGGCTGTCCGTACTGAAACGCTGATTCATTGTTAAGTGCATAGGGAACTAACGCACGGAGCGTTGAAAGTGCACCCACGCAGCAGCAGTTCCGCAGTTAAGAACAACATTTCTGCACAGGCAGTTGGGTAACGTTATTCTGCTCTCCAACTCGCAAATGTGTGACGCCCACATATGTTTGGCTGTCTCATCCCGCTTACACTTTGCATGGCGGCCTAGCGTCCTAGGCCGGGTGCCCCTTGACGCTGTCACGCTGTCGGTAGCCCCGAGAGTCGCCGCTCACCCCGGCCGGCCATGTTCCAGATGCCGGTGGTGCAGAGCGGCGGCGTCACTTACTATAACACACAGGCCCAGGCGCCGCCGCCCGCGCAGCTGCTGCAGAAGCGACCTAAGGCGGCCATCCCTATCCTGCGGCCTCCCGAAGGCCAGGCCGCCGCCGAGGCGTCCCCAGAGCGTGAGGCGCCGGCCGAGGCGTTCCTGGAGCGCGAGGCGCCGGCCGTGGCGTCCCCGGAGTGCGAGGCGCCGGCCGAGGCGTCCCCAGAGCGTGAGGCGCCGGCCGAGGCGTTCCTGGAGCGCGAGGCGCCGGCCGAGGCGTCCACGGAGTGCGAGGCGCCGGCCGAGGCGTTCACGGAGTGCGAGGCGCCGGCCGAAACGTCCCCGGAGCGCAAGGCGCCGGCCGAGGCGCCTCCGGGAACGGCGGACGGTGGCGTCGCCTCGCCACCACCCGCCAACAGCCCAGTGCCTTCGGGGGCCAACATGTCGCCCACATCAGCGGCGCGGACGGCTGTCGCGTCGGCCCCCGCGCCTGCGAAGGAGACTGTGCCCGCGCTGGCGGGAGAGAAGACGCCTCGCACGATGGACACGGCCCCCGCGCCTGCGAAGGACACGGTCCCCGTGTTGAAGATGCAGCCGGATCCTAAAATAGCGTTCGAGCCTTTGGTAGCGACGGCTGCGGCGCCTACCATTGCCCCTGCCTCGGAGTCTGTGACGGTTGTGAAAACGACGACCGCTACTCTTGTGACCACTTCATCAACGCCAGAAACTCAGGCACCCATGTCATCAGCGCCAGAGACCCGAGCGCCCACGTCATCAGCGCCAGAGATCCAGGCATCCACGTCATCAGCGCCAGAGACCCAGGTGACCACGTCATCAGTGCCAGAGACCCAGGTGATCACGTCATCAGCGTCAGAGATCCAAGCGCCCACGTCATCAGCGCCAGAGACCCAAGCGCCCACGTCATCAGCGCCAGAGGTCCAGACGACCACGTCATCAGCGCCAGAGGTCCAGGCGACCACGTCATCCGCGCCTGCTGCTCGAGCGGACCCCTCGGCGGCGCGCGGCCCGGATGCGGCGTTGTCGGTGCGTGCCCCTGCGGCTGTCGCGGGTCTGCCTGCCCCGGCGTGCGACGAAACCCCGACGGCGGCGGTGAAAGCGCCTCCAGGGGAGGGCACCGGCTCCGGCAGCTAGTGCAGTTGGTCACCGGCCGCGAGTTCGCTGTAACTAGTGTTGCTGCCGTTAACTAGGACGTGACTGCGACGGACATTTGGGTTCTTTTGCATGCGCCAGACGTTGCCGGGCACCGCTTCTCCAGGGGACAAATTTCCCCGGTCTGTGTTTGGTAGCTTGTGTGCGTTACGTTACCAGTTTGCGGCGCGTTCAACAAGGTGTCGAAGCACGCTGAATGATGTCATCTAAATATGCACCGATGCTTCTGGCTGTTTCTTAGTTTCGGAATTTTGCACTATGCGCATCGTTGCGGGTTGTCATCCCAGTCAAAGCCGCATGTATGCTCCTGTGCCTAATAGTAATATTTGAAGTCCAGTCGTTTGGTGATGTGGTTCATGGGCTCGACATAGTACCGAACTTCTTGTTATCCGCAGACTTACGACTAACTATTTAGTGATGATATATGTATTGTGTTCCCTTTCGTCACCTTTACCTCATCTTTGATGAAGCTGCTTCTATTTAGTAGATGGTGTATTTAACAGGATAGATAGTGCAGTGTTTGAGGTTTTCTAAACCAAAATATAACGGTTTTGTTGTATAAAATTTGGACGCCTCAATCGTTCTTTGCGCTATTTTTTTCTAAGTCGCACCCACCTTCTCCCGGTGCTGGTTCTGGTCCTCATGAGATGTAGCTCGAATTATTGGCAAGATAGACGCATTTGCCTTACAAATCCGCATGGGCTCCGTATGCTACAACCAGTATGAGGTCGGCGCGCGCTAAATCGGAATTTTTTTATAAATGTATTCCGAATGGTTTGCATGGATGGCTTTGGATTTGGAGTACTTGCTAAGCATAATCACTATGTAATCCAAATCACTATCCTCTTGCAGTTTCACCATTTGCATACGCGTGGTACAGATTGGAACAAAGATGCACGGATGGCACGCCGCGGGCGCCTGTCGGGCCATTACCATCCACGAGCCAGCGCACTGGCGCTCGTTCGCGCTAGTTAGCTAGCTCGCTAGCGGGTGGTTCGTTCCAGAACGGTGCAGCCCGAGCACCGGCCGGGCTTCAAACAGGTGGTGTGCCAGTGTACGATGTACGCTGTTAGCGGCATGCTGGGGCCCGCGTGGCGTGGCGCCGCGAGATGTGCGAGGAGTATATGGACACGCGGGCTCGTCTCACCGACGGCAGACAAATGGTGTATAGGGGGGGGGGGGGGGCATGGGGAATGCGCAAGCGCGTCTGTGTGCGAACTATCATTACTGCACCCGACGAGCTATTCGCTTAGGTTTATTTTCCTTTCCAAATGTCCCACAGCATTGCGAACTAACAATGAAAGCACGGAACGGCGCAACAAGCTAACGCGGCGTCCAAATCATAAGCGCCTTCAAAATCACAACAATGAAGTAACTTGGTGGCTAAAAGTTGGTGCAAACACAATTGGTAAGGTTTCAATGCGCCTCGTAACATCATCACCTTCAACTCAACTCTTACCGCGCACGCCATAAGCGACGACCTTAGTGAAAATCAAACACCGAGTCGAATGCCACAGTCTTGGCACTATCCTCGTGGAGCAGCTTGCGGGAGAACTTCCTGCTCTTGGGCGTGCCCTTGGCCTCGGCCTCCCTAGCCCAGTCGCGTGCCCTGGAGGCGGGCCGCTCCCGACCGGGCGCCGTGGCGCGCGGAAGCGGCGCCACCGCCGACACGGCAGGGCCGGCCGCCTCGCCGCCCGGCCGCCGGCCGCCCTGCAGCCGGCGGAATTTCGCCTCGATAAACTCGTCCGCCACGGCGAACGACTCGGACACCGAGCTGGAAAGTGAGCGCACCTCGTCCTCCTCATTGAAGATGACACGCCGCTTGCGCACCCAGGGCGAGTGCGGCGCGCGCAGGATACTCCGCGACGGTATGTGCTCCGTCTGCTCGGCGCGTAACAGCTGCTCCATGGGCGTCTTGGGTGTGCTCGGTGCACGCGCCGCCTTCGGCGTGGTCGGCGCGGGCGTCTTGCTGGGCGTGGTCGCCACTGTGGACGAGTCATCTGGATCGGCGGCCGGCGCCTGGCGTCGGTTGGCGCGCTCGAGCGCCGCCCGCAGGCGCTGCGCCTCTGTCTGCACCGCCTGCAGTTGTGCCGCCACCTCTGCCGTCTCCTGGCGCGCCTGCTGCACGTGGCCCTCCGTGTCCTGCTTGTACTGGTCGAGCAGCGCCGTCATCTCCTGGATGCGGTGCTCGGCGTGCGCGGCGGCGCGACCGCCCTCACGCGTCGCCTCGTCCGCCGCCTGTCGGCTTGCCTCCGCCTCAGACACCAGCTGCGCCTGGCGCTGGCGGTGGTCGGCCTCCTGCTGAGCGGCACGGTCGGCCTCCTCCTCCAGGCGCTGCTGCAGTTGACAGCAGCGCTCTTCCAGCGATGCGCGTTCAGCCGACAGACGCTCCTGCGTGGCTTCGTGCTTCTGAAGCGCCGCCTCGTGCGTCTGCTGCTCTTCCACCACGGCGCCCTTGGTGGACTCAAGTTCGTGGCGGCAGGCGTACGCCTCCTCCTCACCCCGCTTCAGCTGCTGCTGCAGCTCACCGACGTGCTCGGCCTGGGCGGCGGCGGCGGCGGCGGCCGTATCCAGCTCTGTCCGTAGACCAGCCAGCTCCTGCTCTTTCAGCTCCAGTTCTTGACGCGCCTGTTCAGCGCTCTCTCGCATGGCGCTCGCATGGAGTTGGTACTGGCTGTCGGCCGCCCGCATGGTCTCACGCGTGCTCTCGCTCTCCGCCCTGGCGCGCGAGAGGTCATCAGCAAGCGTTGTCACCTGCTCCTCTGCCGAACGCAGCGCCTGTTGCGCGCAGGATCGCTCGGCTCGAGTCGTCTCCAGCTCAGCGTCGACCCGTGCCCGGTCGGCCGCTGCCTGTTCAAGCTGAGATGCCAGATCCGCCCGCCCCTCAGCCGCCTCCTGCAGCGCAGCCTCCAGTCTGGCGACCTCTGCCCGGCTGAGCTCGATGCTCGCATCCAGGGCTGCGCGCTGCTCCCGGGAGCGGGCCAGCTCATCGCGCTGCTGCGCCAGCTCGTCCTGGGTCTGCTGCAGCTCGCCGCCCTGCGTTTCCAGCTGCTGCCGGGCATGCTGAAGCGCAGCGTCCCGAGCTTCGAGCTGCTCGGAGCGCTGCTGCAGCTCCGTCTCCGTGCAGTGCAGCTCCTCAGCCACCAGCCGCTTCTCGCGCTCCAGCGTGTCGATGGCCACCGTCAGCCGCGCCTCGGCAGCGCCCAGCCGCTCCATGTCGGCCTCGCTGGCGCGCACCTGCTCCTCCAGCTCCCGCTGCGCGCTGGCCGCCTGTTCGCGCTCGGCCGCCCACTGCTGCTCGCTCTGCTGCCGCTCGCGCTCGGCGCGCGCCGCCTCCTCGCGCAGCTGGCCGACCGCCTCCTGATGGCGCAGTGTGAGTTCGCTGAACTGCTGTTGTAGCTGGTCGAGGCGCGCTGTCTGCGCCTGCCGGCCGGCGGCCAGCCGCGCCGCGTCCGCCTCGCACTGCTCGAGAGTCCCACGCAGCCGGCTCGCCTGCTGCTGCACGGCGGCGCCCACGGCGCGCGTGGCCTGCAGCTGGTCAGCCAGGTCGTCGCCGCGCTGCCGTTGCTGGCGCAGCGCGCCCTGCGAGGCGCTGTGCGCTTCCTGCAGCTGCCGCAGCCGCTCGTCCTGTGCCTGCTGCTGCTCCTGCGCCTCGCGCAGCTGCGTCTGCTGCTGCTGCCGACAGATCTCAGCCGACACCTTCCACTTGAGAATCCTGTCGGCCTCGGCGGTGAGCCGTCCGCGCAGCGTGTCGCCCTGCTCGCGGTGCTCCAGCGCCTGCGAGTAGGCCGACACAGACCGCTCCTGACGCTGCATGTGGAACATGGTGGCCGGCTGGCCGCGCTCCGAGAGGCCGCGAAGGAGGGACGCCGCCGATGTGACGAACGGATAGCGCCGGCGGCTGAGCTGATCTGCGCGGTGAGACGACCGACACCAACACAGCCTGGAAGACAAATAGCCGGAGTCGAAACACATCGGATAAGATCTGACTGTTTGATTGGGACATGTGGGCATTGCGGAGCTGTAACTGTTTCATGGGAGTGACTGCAGTATCAGCCGTTCTGTTAATCGACACCTGAACGCCACTCGCGCGTGTACGTCATCTGCATCGGTGAACAGCTGCAGTATCAGCCGTTCTGTTAATCGACACTTGAACGCCACTCGCGCGTGTACGTCATCTGCATCGGTGAACAGCTGCAGTATCAGCCGTTCTGTTAACCGACACCTGAACGCCACTCGCGCGTGTACGTCATCTGCATCGGTGAACAGCTGCACTATCAGCCGTTCTGTTAACCGACACCTGAACGCCACTCGCGCGTTTACGTCATCTGCATCGGTGAACAGCGGCTCAAACTGAGGTGGCTCTCGCTACACGGGCGGTGCAGCATGCATTTTACAGCACTCGTAACTGCTGCCGCAACCATCAGTTCGATGCGCCGCATGCGCTGAAACGTCCCTGTCTCCTGCCCGGCATACTCTTACAGCCAATCAGCCGTGACAAAGGCCATGGTAAGTGTTCAACCACACTAGCTACTTTGCTGACAACATGTGCTCATGATGTTTATTGATGTAGCAAGCAGGAGCGTAGTTTCACGACACGAATTAGGAGGGGGAGGGGAGGGATGATCAGTGAAAAACGACTGAAGCTATTCTAAACTACGCCAACAAACGGGGTAGTCCCCGGATTTGGCCCATTTTCTTCCTAAAGGTGGGGAGCTGAAACTCAGGTGGGGTGGGGTGGGGGAGAGGAGGGGACTTACTAATAGGAAATTACATCGCCGAGCGTAAGGATATTCATTGATGGCACAACTTCGCCCGCGTTTGGTATGGCACACAACACACTTGGCTACTGGCTACCCAGGGGCATCATTTCATACGCTTCCGGAGATGCCCGAGAATCCTCCTCCCTCGCCACAGCCCCTTTGAGCCCCTCAGTACATGTGGGCAAGAGGGGAAACATGGGCTAGGGAAATGCAGAAGATTCACCTGAACTGTTGCTACACGGGAAATCGACCAGATCATTGTCAGTTTTGCGTTCTTTTTTAACCATATGGTATCATGTGGGAGCATCAAAGCCCTGTTCAGGCTAGCATTGAATGAACACTGTCGGAGGTCCCTGTCCAATGGACGGGACCTATTGTGGTATTGTGGTATGACATGCACAAAAACTGAAATAAACAAGAGTTACACGTACCGCTTGTCGTCTTTTTTTGCTTGGGAGGTTTTTTGTCATTATGTAACCATTTCTATTTAGTGTTTATAGATCTGCTCCCATAGAATCAAGTTATGGAGCACCGCAATGGTGAAATAATACGTAAATGCATGATGATGAACACAAACACCCTCGGAGTACAAAATACCGCCTATTTGTTATAGACCTGCCGACATTCCATGCGTACCATGTGTCTAGTTACCTCGCACGCTGATCGGCGCTCGTCTTCTGTAGAAACAACCGAGCGTTGTCAAGCCCTGTGCAGCTAGCGTTTGGCAAGGTTGACGCGCACACGCACGCATGCACAGAACATTCAGGGATGCGATGGTGCAAGTACACCGGCACATGCGCGCGTACTTGCGCCGTTACATCCGTTAATGGTTGGTAGCAAACCATCCAAATCATGACTAAGCTCGGATCCCTGTCTATGAACTGCCGCGATCTGGCGGAGCGGCACAACAGACGAGACGTTATTAACTTCGCGAAGAATTAAATGTTTAACATAATCTATTTCCACGCTATCAACATGGCTCACGTAGCATACCATTTTCAATACGTTTTGGTGTGGCAAATGCTATCGTTCCCATAAAACGTCAAACAGCCGGGGCATTGCGATTCTGTTCAGAAATTCTGTGTATCACAAACTACTGTTTGAAAGATACTGTTCCAATGCAAGCTTCGTTATCATGGGGTGCACGATAAACTCTAATATTTATACTTGCAGTGCAGCATATATGGCCCAAACGAGGATGATTCCACGTTCTTTGAGTCAATGGGTGCTGAGCTGGAAAGTCTTCCGCAGGATAGCATCGTAACTGGTGGCGACTTTATGTTTGTTATGAACCACAGACAGAACTCAAACTGCGCGCACGAACAAAACGTCAGTGGAAAAACTCCATTTACGGGAGCTGCCGCACAGCGGTGTAGTTGATATCTGGAGACGCTTTAATCCATCCGATCGTAAATTTACATGGACCAAATGTAACCCGGTCAAATGTGGTAGAGTAGATTCGATCTGTAGTTTGTAAGCGACCATTTACTTAACTGCACCGCAAACCACGAGGACCAGGGCTGCGGAAGTTCACTGATTCCTTGCTGACATAGCAACTAAATAGTGGCCATTAAACGGCGTATAAGTAACGTCATCAAGCAAATGTTGTTCCATGGTAAGACGACGCTAATTTAGAAAACCCGCTGAATTTCGAAAGCCTACCATTCGCAGTAGGCATAGCTCTATTTTGCGAAACGCTTCTGATGATGTTTCGAGGCGAAGTCGTTATATACTCTAAGCGAAACGCAGGACGTGGAAGAGAGCAACAGCAGGCAATCGTCACGGAACTGAACGATCCGTATAATAAGTTTTCAGTCACGAAATCAGAACATGACGCTTATCTGATCACACATGCTCAGACAAAATTAGAAGACCTTTGGAAGCCGAGAATCGAAAACAACCCGGCTCAGAGTAGCATGGCACGACCACGGCGAGAAACTCAAAACATTTTCTATCCTTAGAAAACAAAATGTTAACCGAATAATTACGAAGAACGAAAACATATTAACTGAATTTACACCTTGTCTGCTATCAAAATATCGCGAGAGAAGCGTGTTTCAGGCAGCTCCGCACATTTACAAAAGCGCATCACAAGAAAGTTAACATGCGCCCGAGTGGCCGGCGGGATGCCTTTCACTCAGGTGGGGGGCAAGTTGACCCCTGATATCTCAGAAACTTAAAGAGCTATAGACAGTTACATAAACTCACTTGGGTCACAGTTTGAAGTTCCCAGATCATGACCTTTGGGTTAAATAAGGTTAAACAAGGTCAAAACTCCAGGTTGGTGCCCAAAGTGCCCCCAGAATCTAGATGCCAGTTCTAAGCAAAAGCTCACATATTCCTTTAAAGCCAGTGACTTTGTTTGACCTTTCTAAGGTCATGGTGACCATAGCTTTGCATTTGAATAAGCGACAAAGATTGCGCTAGGCATAATGTTCCTAAAACAAAATGTTAACCTGGGTCACTTCAGGTCAGTGACCTATTATGACCTTTAAGAAGACCATAGGTGTATGCTGCGGTTCCCGTTATCAATGAATTCCAAATGAGCACCAGAAACTACCCCATACAGCAAGCCACGGAGTAATAAAACAGGATGGCTTTGAGCTTGGTCTGACCCTCATACCTGATCGTAGGTCAATGGAATTTGCTCATTCAATTGCGTCGTCTAAGAAAGCATCTCAGATGTATGGCCTCATGTAAAACTCCGTCGTTGCATCAGACTGAACGATCCCATAGAAATCGACCGCTGAATCCGTGGCCTGATTTTGATCTGCGGTAGATTAGTGACCTTATAAGTTACATGTCAAATTCCGATACTGTACAATGCGCTATACAATTGTCTATACCTATGCAAAATTTGGCGTGACTGCGCCGCGCTGTCCGGAAACCATTCCTGAAAACCCTTCGGAGGTCACTGACCACCATCCGAGCGCATGTTAAGTACACGGCACAAACAAGCTTTAGACTCACCAATAATCTTTCAAGAGCCTCATCTAGCGCTTAAAGCAATGGAAAGGGAAAATGGCAAGAAACAAATGGCTTCAACTCCGACTTTTTCAAGCATTTCTGGGGGTATTTAGGGGCGATTCTTTATCGTGTTTTCAGACAAAGTACAACAGCAGGCACTCTGCTAAATATTCGCATCGTGAAGACACCATCGCTCTGATCCCCAAAACAGGTAAACCGTCAGACGAACTGGAAGGTTGGAGATCAATATATTTACTGGACGTCGACTTTAAAATGATATCTGCGGTTTTGCAAGTATGCTCAAAGGTGTTGTGAACGACCTTATTTCCCCACGCAATCGGCATGTACGGAAGAACGCTTCCTTGGAGAAAACACTCGACTCAGTGAATAACTCTGAATGATCCGGTTTGAAAGAACCAGCCGATTCCCTAGCCGCATCTGAAACGGTATCCTGGAACTTTCTATCTAAAACCATGGATCAGTTTATCTTTGGAGAATACTTTAAACACTTAAAACATGTGGCATACTTAAATAACACAAACTTCCCTCGTATATCACAGGATAGGTTCCTCGGCGAAAAAAAGTTTACGCAGCACAGCATGAGGCAAGGAGATCCAGCGTCTGGCTATTTCTTTTTTGCTTCTTTTACTCTCTTATTCTTGCTAAGTTATGGTTTTCGTCTATTGTTATTTTTATTATCTTATTGTTTTATATTATATATTTGTTATTCTCTTACTTGTTTGGCAATATGTTCCTCAAGCCAAACTGTTGACCTAGGTCATCGTAGGTCAGTAATCTATTCTGACCTTTAAGAAGTCCATGGAAGAAGTATATTCATGTTATGTGTAAATTCGAAATGGGCATCAGAAACTACCCCACACAGCAAGCCTTATAGTAATAAAGCAGATTCGTTTTGACCTGGGTCTGACCTTCCTACCTGATCTAAGATCAATGGAATTTGTTCATTCAATTGTTGTGTTGCCTAAGAAAGTATCTCAGAGGTGTATGGCTTCATCTAACACTCCGTCGTTGCTTCAGATTAAGTGACTCTAGAAATTGACTTCGCTAAATGCCTGACTTTGACCTGCCGTAAGTCAATGACCCTACCAGGTACATGTAAATGTTCGATTATTGACGATCCTCTATTCAAATATCTACAGCCATGCAAAATTTGGCGCGGCTACGTCGCGCCGTTCGGAAACCATTCCGGAAATACCTAGGGGGGGGGGGGGTCAGGCTGACCCCATCCGAGTGCATGTCAACTTCAAACTTTCTCATTCCAAGCTTTCTCATGAAGTTCGCAGTGTCTCGTGCGATGTTAAATTCGAACTTTCGCAATCCAATATATACGTTTGACCTGTTTGGGCATACACTGCGGAGGGTGCAGATGGTCGGACACGAGGCACAGGCGCCTGCCTAAGCGCTCTGCCTGAACGCATGCCGTTCCCCTGCCATACCCAGGCGACGGAAGCTCCATGGGTTGGGGGGAGGGGGGGGGGGGGGGAGACGGCAGCTGTGTAGCAGTGACCGCGGGGAAGGGTTCGTGCAGTGAGCCAGCTTAGAGGCCCAAACCAAGAGTTCACCTGCACCGATCCGCTATCTTGACCAGCACCGAGCCAGCGGTGTCAAGTGACTATCAGCGAAGGCGCGCAGATCACTTTGGACGCTGACCGAACTCTTAAATAGACCTTGAGATCTGAGACGATGATGGCAATTGAGAAAGCTTAGTCCTGTAGAGACGGCTGGACATTCCTTTGGCAGGGCTGTCCTACAATGGCCACTAGCTGTAACGCATAGAGAGAAATCGTGAGTTTGGACTGTCGTGTGATAACTGTTGAGAAAGTTGAAACTGAAATCTGAAACTCAATCGACACCAAGAGCTTAATGAAATTCGCCTGTCATTGTAATGCCCTTAAACATCCAAGCCAGGCGGAGAACACCGAAGAGAATCTTGTGGCCACGCTCAGATGCATGCCTGGGTGCACGGCGGCCCAAAAGGACTGACGAAAGCATGTTTAGTGATGCGACTGATTGCCGGTGACGTTCGACACCTTTTACGGCAGCAACAATGCAATCGTGAAGTAACTTCACCGGGTCCGCCGCCGTTACATGCAACAAATTGACAACTGCGTAATATTTATACAAAGTGGCAATACTGATGCAATCATAAATTGAATTACAAAAAAAGAAACAAAGAGACATGTGGGGTATGTGGGCGCATGCTTTGGGTGTGTACATGCATACGAATATATTTACTTTAGACTTACATTCACGACCATAGTGTCTCAACACCAACAATGTAACTAGGTCCCAACACACAGGCACGCGTTGAACCAAGTCTCAAGCATGTCCCCTCCTCCCCGAATAACGCGAAGATTACCCTAGAACCTACCCGAATAAACTGAAGACTAATGCGTTTATGAGGTAGAACAAAGAAACAGTTATTGCACGATTCACTTAACGGCTTATTACATTCACAGTGTATTTACTTATCACAAGTGACGAATGACAAGAACCCATCTATACCAAGCGTGGCTGCACGCTGCCAAGTCCACGTGACAAGGCTGTCGGTTATAGTTTTTGTGTACTAAAGCAGAAGAAAATAATTTCAAGACTTTTAAAATAGCACGATATACTCTACGGGGTTATATTTTTGCTTGTTATATGTGTGCACTAAGCGTGACGGAAGGCGTAGTAATAAGCAATAATATATATATATATATATATATATATATATATATATATATATATATATATATATATATATATATAAGGTACCTTTTTTCCTTGTATCGTTGACTGATGACTTGGGCATGGACGCTTATCCCGGAAACATCCGCATACGTGACGTGTAATGAAGAGCTATGACATACTGTGCGAGTCTTGTAATGAGTGTAATTATATTCTCACCTCAAAGACCTCGAAGCACCTTGTTCCATGGGCGTGCATATCCCGTCATATCATAAGCGGGATTATCTTAAACACTCTTGTAAAATGATCCCTGCAGCCATCTGCTGTACTTTACGTAACCTTGAGTATGCTTATTCGCCAGTAGATGGCCGTCAGTCCGACCTCTGCTTCGCATTCGGCTAGTAACCGCTCGATGGGCGGAGGGTGTTGCGGCGGCAGTGAGCGCTGTGCGCTTCGTGGGCTGGGTGTTGATATGGAGCCGCGGTCACCTGTTATGCTACAGCCTGCACGCGACGTGTTGATGGCTGTGGGGTCAAGTGGCGGAGAACTGTGGTAGCGTGAGTCTCGAACTGTGAGGTGGTGATGTCTGCAGCTGAGAAGACAGCCAGTGCTGCGCACTCGGCCAGCAACAAAAAGCATGGTGCCAAAGGCCAGTTTCCACCTCCATCGTATTCATCGGCATTCCAGAAGCTGCAGCAAACATTGATCCAGGTCAGTCTCGTTTTAGCCCCGGACAAAGAGGAACGGATAGTTAACTTGACCGCTGACGGGGTAAGGGTGGGACATGAGTGGGTGTGGAAAGGGGTCGTCGGCGAGAGCAATGTCTTGTATCATAGAGGCATTGCAATTGTCTGCGAAACTGAGCTAGCCGCTCGCGGGTAGGTGCTGTGGATTCGGTGTGCAGCTTTAGGATCCTGGTATGACCGGGGGGCCGCAGGATCGCGCCAGAGGGTCACAGCAGACGTCTCCCCACCGTACATGCCAGCAGTAAAGCGCACATACGTGTTGAGTTTACCTCACGAAGCCACCAGCTGATCACCTAGAATGTGGCCATCAATCCCTCCATCCTTAAACGGAGCACGCGTGACCGGTCCAGAAGTATCATTGTTGCCATGGTAGGGTCCCGGATGGTGTTGGTTTCCTCTCCCTGCCCGCGCCCACTCCAAAAGTGCGGTCTTCCCTCCCCAGAACCAAATCCCGGCGATATCTCTGGCTGACACAGTGTCAGGGTCTCGATCCGGGTGGCTCACAGTGTCGATCTGGCTGACACAGTGTCAGGGTCTCGATCCGGGGGGTTCACAGTGTCGATCTGGCTGACACAGTGTCAGGGTCTCGATCCGGGCGGTTCACCCGACGCGATCTGGTGGTGCCGACATGCCCAGCGTACACTGGCCCAATCACAAACAAGCTGTCTGTCGAGGTAAAATGCGATGGCTGGCATACATGTTCTGGGGTTTGATCTACGCCGCGCCAGTCACAAACAAGCCATCTGCCGGGGGAAAAGGCGATGGCTGGCATACATGTTCTGAGGCTTCCTTCGCTGTGAACGTGTCCCCGAAACTGTCGCAGAGCGATTGGTAGGACGATCGGTGTACGCCGCCTGGAAGCAGTATGGAGTCGAACAAACACCCGAGGGTGGCAGAGGCTGCCGCTGCCATCTGACAGGCCTTTCTACGTATGCTGAGCATGCAGTCCGGTATCGGCGCACGGGATGGTGCTCGTGTGGGTGGTGATTTGATGTCGGACAACTGTGGGTCGCTATTTAAACCGCAATGTGTTCAATGGTGCGAAACAAGTGAAGGATGCACCAACGCGATGTGTGATACGATTGACTGATTTCCCGTGATTTCCTTCTGTCGGTACCAGTTGGATGCTTACGCGAGCGGAGGCATGTGCCGTTCACTCCCTCCCGTGCCGTTAAATTGGCCCTGTTCTCCGCTGAGTTTCCGCAAGGGTCAAGGTTGCATCGTTCGCTTACCGGGCTTATCTGTAACTGCTCTTCCGAGATGGTTGCCCCTCCCTTTTATCAGGCATGACGTCGAGCTGTGGCTCAGATCTGCCAGTGTTGACAACACCAAGTCAAAGTATTGTGTGGGGTTGGATGATGTAACGACCCGACTGCGAACCCACATAGTGTATGTGGGGTCGCATGCGCGCGCTGCACGAATGGACACGTGCCTGACTACGATCGCACACCCCCAGCGTTGTCCCTAGGCAGACGGGTGACTCCTCTAAACTCGTCTGGAAGGCATTACAAGATGGCTGTTTGCTGTACAGCGAGTCACTGACTGGTGCACCGCGGGTGGTTTTGTTAGTGTCGGTGCGACGGACCTCGCCAAGTGTGCTTTACCCTGCGGTTGGCCTTTAAGTGCGCGTTGATGGTGACCATTATGAAATTGTCGTTCAGCCCGTCACTCGTGTGTCAGGTTTGCCTGGAACGGGGCTGAACACGTCCCGTTAAACATCCTACCGGCGCTGTCGAGGAGGAAAAGAATCTGTCGGAACCGCGACTCTCACCGTGGACAATCCCCTGAGCCCACTGCAGCAGTGACTGCGGAGTGAAAGACATCAAATGCGTGTGCTTGCCGATAATGGCTGTTGATCGGCAGGCAACGACCATGACTCCTGCCTTCCTTCCGCCGTTCGGCAATTGGCCACATCCGGAGCGGGGCTTCCCGGCGCGGGCGCGAGGCTCTCCGGGATGGGGCCGTGGAGCGCATGGGGGCTGGCGGCGCGGCCAGCTTCACCGACGCTCCCCTTGCGGCCAGCTCCCGCCCGGGCTTGGAGGAGGCTGGGAGCGAGCCGCCGCGGCGTCCCACACCCGACCTCGGCTCTGGTCGCCAGGCGGCTCCGTGGTCCAACGAAAATCTGACAGCCGGGTCCGTGATGTGACGGACGTCTGTCAGCCGGCTCAGCGCCGTGACGGACGTCTGTGAGCCGGCTCAGTGTCTTGACGGACGTCTGTCACGCGGGCGCGTGGTGCAGCGAACGCGCCTCAGTTGCGCGGCCTGAGGGGGGACGAACATCTATCAGTCGGCTCCGTGACATGACGGGCGTCTGTCACACCGGTCTGGGATGTGACGGGCGTGCCTCAACCTCGCGCCTGCGGCGGCGTGGTAGCCGCAGGGCGCTCTGGCCTCACAGGAAACGCCACTTCCCGTCAGTCGGGCCCAAGGTGACAGCCGTGCCACCCGCCGCGCCTCTGACCTTTGCCCGGCCGGCTGGCCGGCCCGGAGCCTCGGGCGAGTGGGGCGGGGGCGGCCTGGGATAGACGGCCGGCGGACGCTGCTGTCGCGGGAGACCGTATCATTACCACCGTCCGGCGTCGCCGGCGTCAGTCCGTGTTGGGCAAGGGCCCGAAGCTGGATGCAAGCGGAGGTGCAAGAGTATTTAATGCTGACGATGAGCTGAAACTGCGATTATAGCAGCAAACTTGAATAATTAATCTTAAAATAGGCAGCGAATATTCTGACGGCCCAGAGACACCTCTTTCCAGTACTGGCGGGCCCACAGACTGCTCCGTCCAGTACTGGCGGGCCCAGAGGCTCCTCCGTCTATTACTGACGGGCCCAGAGGTTCCTCCGTCCATTACTGACGGGCCAGTTGCCTGAACGGCCTACAGATGTCACCACCAGAGTCTTCCATTCGGACGGCGGATCTTTGGCCAATCCGCCCTGCTGTTGGACGGCCGTGCCCACAGTTATTCGTGTCTCCGCGGATATCCCGTTGCATTTCCGCCGTCGGGCGCGGCGAGCGCTCCCGGCCGTCCCGCCACCCCCACCGCGACCCGGTGCGGCGGCGGCCTCTCCTCCCAGGTCTCCCCCCCCTCCCCCCACCACCGCCTCAGGTGCTCGCGGGTGACACTGGTCAGCGACGTCACCGCCCGGACCGTCACTGGTCAGAGACGGTCACCGTACGACGTCAATGGTCAGCGTACGGCCACCGTCCGACGACACTGGTCAGCGACGGTCACCGTCCGACGACTACTGTGTAAGCGACGGTCCCGCCCACGTCACTAGTCAGCGAACGGTCACCGCCGAACGACACTGGTCAGCAGACGGTCACCGCCCCCGACGTCATGGTAGTCAGCGGACGGTCACCGTCGACGACACTGGTCAGCGACGGTCACCGCCCGACGTCACTGGTCAGGACGGTCACCGTCCGACGACACTCGGTCAGCGACGGTCAACCGCCCGACGACACTGGCTAGCGACGGTCACCGTCCGACGACACTGGGTCAGCGACGGCCACCGTCCGACATCCCCGTCAATCGAAAAATATCAGGTTTACCTGATAGGGTGTACCCGGTACCACTACATGCACCTGAATTGTTACTTTTTGATGGTTGTAACAAACAGGCGTGGCGTCGGTGGTGTAGTGGTTAACGCGCCTGCGTTAACCACTGCGCGTCTGTGAAACCAGAGGCACGGGGTTCGATTCCCCGCGGTACCCGCCCTTCCTGCCAGGGTAAGAGGCAGGCGACGCCATACAGCCTCAGCAGCTGAGTCATCATAAAGCACCCACACACATAAGCACAGGCATATCACAACCCAATGGAAGGGTGGGAAAATAAAACACCACGCTCCCACCCTTTCCCGTCTTCCCCAAAACCGCATCTGTCCACCGGCCCGCCATCAACCGACACTTTTTCACAGAGGGGGAGGAGGGCGACAGCCGCGTACCAGGCAGTGTGCTCTGCGTTGGTGCTGCCGCCGGGAGTACTGCCCGGGGACCCTGCCGAGCCGCCGCCCCCGGTGTGAACGCACCCCTGTGCGTGACGGGCCGG